GGGGCTGCGGATGTCGGGGCTGGACCCTCCTCGCCCGGTGCAGAACGCAAGGCACCCACAACCTCAACCTTTGGGGACCTTCCCCCAAAATCCCCCCAAACGCTCCTCTCCTCGGGGAGGGGAGCAGTTACCTCCCATGGGGTTGCTGAAGCTCGGACCCACGCCCCGGGGCTGGGGAGGAGGCGAAGAGCCAAGGTGCCCAGAGGGACAAGCCTGTCACCAAGGTGAAGACCCAAGGGACATGGTCCTGCCAGGGCTGTTTTTACTCCTGCACTGGCAGTGGTGGGGGTGATGGAGGAAGGAGAGTTGAGGCATGCATGCACTTTGGGGTCATAGGTGGGATCTGAGCGCCCCCCCGACCTCCTATTTGGGGTGGGAGGAGCTGAGCTGGAGGCCAGCACTTGCATAAGAAGGTCCCTGGCCCAGAGCAAGGGGAGGGGATGGCCAGCCCCCACCTGCCCCATCCAGCAGCCCCCTCTGCACCTCCTCTGGCTTTGCAGAGAGACCACAGAGTTGGGTGCCAGGGTCCCAGCTCCCCTCCTGCCTAGGTTTGTCCCCTGCCTGAAACACTCACCCCACTGCCAGGGGCTTTGGGGGGTGGCTGGGGCAGCCCCAACATCCAGAAGACATGAGGCATCAGAGCTTAAAATCCTGACCCTGAGAAAGCCCTGATCCAACTGTAGCTGCATCTCAACAGCTTCCAGGGCTGGATCCTCGGCGGGTGTAAGCTGGTGCAGCTCCACACCCCAGCCACCCGGACCTGCACCAGTGTGGGAGAGCAGAGCCCCAGGGAAAGCCGTGCTGGAAAAATCGAGCCTTGCATCGCCAGCCAGGCATCGCAGCTCAGATCTTCATCATCGGTAATGCGAGTTTGGCCAGGATGAAGGAATGCTGTGACCTGATGCTAATATTTTAGATGGTGACTTTCATCCCAGGAAATCTCAATGCACCGGAGTGCGGCCTCTCCTGAGGTGGGAGGGGGCAGCCAGCCAGACACATGAATTGCATCCAGGCAAGGAAGGGATCTTTTCACCAGCATCACCCGCCCAAAGCTGTCTGCTCTCTAAATATGCCTTCAGATTTTTAATGTCCATGCAAAAAAAAAAAAAAAAAGGGAGAGAGAGAGAGAGAGAGAAAATAGAGAAAGAAAATAGAGAGAGAAAAAATAGAAAGAGCTTGATGAATAAGGTCCTTTAGGGAGCAAGAGGGAGTCACTTCTGCAGACACCTCCCTCATCTCCACTGCAAGGATGAAGAAGGCATCTCAGATGATATCCAGGTGAGGGATAAAGCAGGGCCACGTGGACCTGGAAGATCTCATGGGGGAGCAGCACCAACTGGGAAATCCACAGCTCTTGGCTGAGTCCCAAGGACATGGTGAGCAGTACCTGGCCCCCTGGCTCTGAGATCACACTGATGCCTGTGCCCTCATCCCCCAGCCATGACCTGAGACATTGGGCAGGTCCCCAGTCCAGCGTGCCCAGACCTACACATGGGGCCACGGGAAGCCTGAAGGGAGCAGCAAAGCCCCAAGCATGACCTAAAGGAGAGGACAGGGAGGCACCAGGATTGTGCAGTGTCTCCACCCATGGAGGGACTTTGGAGGAAGGTGGCCTGCACCTCAGAAGCAGTTTAGGACAAGATGATCCTGCTTTGGGGTGGAGGCCACCAAGCCAGCCTCTCCAGCTCCTTCTAGACCAGGTTCCTGTTAATACGATCTTATGAAGGGCTATGTAGACCTCAGTGACCTACAGCTCTCTGCCCTTGATTCCTTTCATGCTTTTGGTGGGATGGGTCAATCTCCAGGTTGTGGGCGGTGGCACCCACGGCCCTGCAGGACTGCAGTAACACCAGGGTGCTGGTGCTGCACGGTACCTCCCCAGGATATGAACCCAGAGCAACCTTTCGTGACACTCTTCTTGGTGGGTCTTCCCAAAGGGGCTGTTGCAAGCTATGGGCAAGGTTCATCTCTGCCTCCCACCTCTGCCGAAGTGAGTTCTTCAGCTGAAATTGCTCACGCCAGCCCAGGATTTGGGCTTCACTTCCTGGGCGAGCTGCGTGCAAGGAGTTTGCAGCCCCCATCGTCTGCGCACTTTGTCTGGAAGGAGAAATAGCTCATTTCCCGAAGAAAGCAAGCAAGACCCGCACCCCAAATTTCTCCCGGGGATGCAGGTGGCAGAGGCCCAGTGCTGCTGTGACACAGTGCCATCTTGTGGGTCCTGCAACACAGGCTGGAGAAAGACAAGAAAAACAGCCGCGTCGGAGGTTGTCTCGGTTGGCCGGCAAATCTGGCTCCATCTGCGGCGTCGCTGTTGTGATTCTGCTCCGCAAAAGCATTTTGGTGGCGGG